TTAATTTTATTTTTAAGTAATCTCTACACCCAACATGGGGCTCTAACTCATAACCCCGAGAACAAGAGTTGCATGCTCCACTGACTAGCCAGCCAGGTATTCCATTCACACTATTTCCCACATCTTAAACAAAATTTCCCCAATCTTCACATTTTGAAATATTATACATTCTTCAAAGAATACTCAAATGCCATTTATGTTTACAAGCCTTGATAATTCACCTCTATGCCCTCTAAATTCATCTTCCTCTCTGTCTAGTACCTAACATATCATGTCTTATGATGAATTTGTCATATTATAGTAGAGGTTAGGCTATCATCAGTTTCTATACTGTGTATATATAATTATTAAATAGAAAATTTCTTCTCAACAGATCAGTTTATATCCTACTTCCCTTGGAAAACAGCCATGAAATAACTACCCCCAACTTCTGCCAACACACATATTAAAATCCCCTACATCTTCACATGTCATGTGCTCTCTTTCCTTCCCAAAGCTATCTTTTTCCTGGCTCTGAATCCCATCCTCCCATTCCTGACAAGAGCTTCACTTCATCAATTACCTCCTCTTTCTTCTAAATGTTTAACCTCTTCCTTGTTGCTCTTCCTCTTCTCAGTAGTTCAGGGAACACCAGTTAGAAATATTTGCATAGGGGCGCCTGGGTGGCTCAGTTGGTTAAGCATCTGCCTTCGGCTCAGGTCATGATCTCAGGGTCCTGGGATGGAGCCCCACCCACATTGGGCTCCTTGCTCAGTAGGGAGCCTGATTCTCCCGCTCCCTCTGCCTGCGGCTCCCCCCTGCTTGTTCTCTCTGTCAAATAAATAAAATCTTTTAAAAAAAATATTTGCATAAACTATTCTTAAACCAAAACTGTTGTGCTGAGAGACCCTCTAGACTGGAGACCCTGAACAGAGCACCTACATCTACAAAAGCAAAGGAAACAAGTTATAAACACACATTACCCAGGCAAGAGAGAACTATATTTAGCCACCCACCATCAGTGAAATAAAGAACACTGAAAGCTGATGCCAGAACCACCACCCTCCTTACTCTTGCTTTCCCTTGAGATATTGCTGATCTACGAACATCTGCAAATTCCACCTGGTCAAGGCAAAAGTGTACACCTGAGGGGCCCAAAGACTTATTTCCTGGGAAAGCCACTTGGACCTCATCTGGTATTCATTTTCTAAGAGTCCACAGCCTCAACATGTCAACATAAATTCATAGAATTCATAGATAAATTCATGAAGTTTATTATGGCTTTTAATTTTTGCTTATTATCTATTCTCACCAAAAGACTATAAATCACTTGATTGTAAACTCAAGAACAAGGATTATGTCTCTCTTCTTTATCATTATGTTCTCAATACCCAGCATATGGAAGGCACTCAAAAAAGTGTAGCATGAATGGGACTATACCAACAACAAGCTCAATATTGCAGTGGTTCTAGGGTAGGAAGCTTCGCAGAACAATCTGAGGGTCTTATTTAAACTACACAATCCTAAATAGTCTCCCCTGTCAAAGAAAAACCAGAATTGGATGGTCATTATAGCCATAGAAATAGATTTTGTTCAAGACTACTGCAATAGGGGAAAAGAGACTTCAGTAAAGAACAGGGCTCAGTTCCTAATATAGCATGGGCAAGTAAGAATTTATAGCCAAGAAGTGGATGGGAAATTACTAATGGGAAACATTAGGGGTCCGGGAAATTCAAGATAAACCAGCCTCACAGGATCTTTGCTAAAGACAGGTCAGAGTGCCCAGACATCACCTGGGGGATGGTGGAAGATGAGAAGAATGTGGGACTCTTGATAAATTGATTTATCAGGATTCTTGCTAAAACTGGATTTTATAAGGGAGTGCATAGATAGGCCCAGAAGGAGGTTCAAGAGCCTGACTCAAATCTGGTCAAGAAAGAATCTTTGTCAATAACCAGAATCCGATGTACCATTATCAGGTTTGGGAAGGGTGTGTGGGTACCTAGGTATAGCATGTGTCACCTCACAGGCCTCCAGATTCTAGCAAAGAGTGAGGGGTGAAACATCAGCAATTACTGTAGGAAGGGCAGTGGTTATGTGTAGTTGAGAAAAGTCCTCTAGTAACTTTCACCTATCACCTCTAGACCATGGGAGAACTACTGTTCTAGAAAGACCATTCCTATGCCTGTAACGTTTTTCAGATCTTTAGATGTAGATACTTGTCAACTCGCAGACCCCTGATCCTTCAGCCAATCTCAGAAGATCTCTGGGGCTCATACACAGTGACTGCACATGGATAACTACTTCTCTTATTAAAATTTTAAAAATATTTAACATTCTTATCCTCTACCAGAGACCTTCAGTCATTAAACAGAGTAAGGCATTCTATTTGAAGAGGAGGTCTAGGGGCACCTGGGTGGCTCAGTGGGTTGAGGATCTGCTTTCGGCTCAGGTTGTGGTCCCAGGGACCTGGGATCGAGCCCTGCATCAGGCTCCTTGCTCAGCAGGGAGTGTGTTTCTCCTTCTCCTGCTCCCTCTGTGCTGTCTCTCCCTCTCTCTCAAATAAATAAAATCTTTGAGAAAAAAAAGTGAAGAGGTCTAATACTGACAAAATGAGTAGGCAAGGTTACTTCTATCGCGCCACTTCAGATTAAAAGTTGCCATCGTTAGTATAGAATGTCGTTACCACCATGAACTTAAAACCTGGATCCCCAGACCAAACTTTTGGAAAAAGCCTTTCATAACCAGCCCACAGATTCCTCATTACCAATTACCCCTAAGTCCATATCCTCTAGTCAAATGAAACAAGAAAGAATGGGGTGACATAGAAGTAGAGGTGACAGAGTTAAAGGGGTTCAGAGTAGAATTTTTATTCCTATCTTTGAACCACGAAGTCCTCCAGGATCTCTTCCTTTTGGGAAAACATTCCAGACTGCGATAGGAAGCACTTCTCAGTGTTCTCCTTCAGGGTCCTGCCTGTGCAGTAATCAATGATTAAAGCAATTTCCTAATCTTATTTATTTAGGACTGACACGAATGAAAACAGTTAAGGGACTCAAGATCGGAATTTTAACTTAAATATTTTCTGGAAAAGTAGCAGACAATGAAACCATTAAAGAACTCCTTGCAGTTTTTCAGGATTAAAATGTAACACATTTCAATCACAACTAGGCCTGTCAAAGAGGAATTCAAATAGAAATGTGACTCCCAAAAATACATCGGGCACTCAAGTGAGCTAATTTCTATTAAAGAAAAAAGTGCTTTCTGGGGAATTTGGGAGTCCAAACAACCTGTTCGATTGCCCAGAGTGATATGGAAGCAAAAGGCAAATAAATCTTGGGAGTCAGAGGGATTAGAGCTGAAATCAGGATTTAGGATTATGTGACCTGACCAAGATGATTTCCATCATCTCTCTTGACCTCTGCTTCCTTCTCCGAAAAATGGTAATAGTATCTATCTTGGAAGATTATTAAGGGAATGAGCCATGCTAATAGTAACAATGAAAATACTGCAAATAGCAATTATGTATGAGCATATTTTCTATCAGCATACTCTATCTCCCCAGGAAGCAGGGGAGGGATTTTCTCTCTTAATACTAATATTATGCAGGTGCCTCTTGAGTTTGCACTGGGAAACCATAAGCCCCTGTTTGTCTCCTGATGCTGCTTCTTACATGTTATTTACTCTGGTTTAAGCCTTTAGAAATGTGACCTCGGGTAAACACTCAGAAACATTTAAAGGCTACTAACCTTTACATTTAAGATTTTTATATTTCTTGAGTTGAATCTACCACCTATCAATTTTCATTTGTTCCCCTCGAAACTATTTACTAAAATGACATTTTTCCTTTGAACAGATAAAATCTTAAATATATATATATATAATCTTGGAAAAACTATTTATTTATTTGACAGAGAGGGAGAGAACACAAGTAGGAGGAGAGGCAGAGGGAGAGGGAGAAACAAGCTCCCCGCTGAGCAGGGAGTCTGCTGTGGGACTCAATCCCAGGATCCTGGGATCATGACCTGAGCTGAAGGCAGACACTGAACAAACGGAGCCACCCAGTTGCCCCATGCAAGATTATATATTAAGTAGTGGGAATAAGTGGGTCTCCCACCCTTAAAACTCCTAATACAGCTATTTACTTTCCTGTGGACAAACAAGCCCCCAAAGAATCCATTTTTTATCAATGAATATTTTCTAATAAAGGAGGAGCCAAAACAAAAATCCCAATTTTTCAAACTGCTTTTAATGGAGCTAAAGTCTGAAACAATTTATCTTTTATTGTTCTCACTGTGAAAATTAAGGAGTCTACTAAAGGTTTTAATAAATGCTATCACATCAGCTCAACTCCAGCCATCTCCAACACACACACACACACACACACACACACAGAGCAATCAAAGAAAAACAGTGCACCAAAGCTTGTGTGGCAAACTCCCAATTAATGATGAAAACTCCTTGGAGCCAAGGTGTTGTTCTCCCAATAGGCTGCTATTTTTAAAATATTTCTCTTCGAAAACAACAGCATGATTAATTCCAACACCCTTACTTAAATTACTTACGACATAGAAACAATGATACAGTATGAGCAATTATTAAAAACACTTTATTATGTATAATTTGTACATGCTGCAATTTGTGTCATTTGGGGTCATCTTCCAGGTTGTGATGTCATCTACTAAGATTAACTAAATCTAATTTTCATCCGGCCACACCACATACAAAAATACAATTTTCAAAGCAGAAGTTCCCCTTCTTTACACAAAGATACATAAGAGTGTGTCAGATGAATAAGAAAAGAATACTTTGCACATGTATCAACACCATACAAGGCATTATCCTTCACACAGTAACAACTAATGTGTTATTTGGGAACAGCAGGAAAAGAGCCCCTTAACCCTCAGAGGGAAATGCAAACTTTGTTGCTAAAGGCGAACTCCAGAGATGAAGGTGTGGTCCTCTGGGGCGGCAGGGAGGGAAGTAGGGGCAGTGGGGATTTATGGAGGAGGGCGGATGCTTCACAAGCACTTCAAAAGGAAAGAATTGCAGGTGGTTCCTCGGGGACAGTCGCACAGCTTCCCAATCCTCGCTCCTTTTCGCACTGCGCACCGCTCCCCAGCGTGGCACTGAAAACAACACAATGTGTGGTCTTCCCACAAAAGCAAACCCAGGCTCCCAACAGGCACATCTCCCCATCAACACAATGTCTGCCTCTTAGGAGAGATAGATGGAACCTATCACTATCACCGGAGGTCTAAGTATGGTCAGACCTGAAACACAACCTTAAAATTTCAGTGAGAGAACATAAAAAGAAAAAAAATTAGATTATTGAGCTCCTCCTACTTTATTCCACCTTTTATTTTTGGGGGAGGGGGTACATTTTCTAGCTCCCTTAGTTGTTTATCAGGAAGAAAAATAATCAACCAGACATTTTTCTAAGAAATAAACAATAGACCTGTATTTTCTCACAACCTCTGCTCCCGGCTTTCAGACTCCTCATCCCAAGGAAGAGGGGTGTGTGTGTGTGTGTGTGTGTGTGTGTGTGTGTGTGTGTGTGAAAGAGAGAGAGAGAACATGAGCGTGTGCATGTGTAATTCCCCAAGGAAAGTGACAAGCGGGGAATCAAGAATTTTGACCTTAAAACATAGATCAGAAAAACTGGCAGTGCTCCAGATGGCAAGAAGAAAATTAGAGGAACAAGAACTGAGTAGATTTAAGGGCTCTTCCAATTCAGAGAATTTTTCATGAGAGGAAAAAAGCTCATCTTCAAGAAATGCTCCTTTCCACACAGACCCAAGAGCTGGTTCCTGGCACCAGCTCTTGGATCCTCTGAAATGGCCATTCTACTCTTTGCCCTTAGAAACCAAGGGGCATGATTTGGCGGTGGAATACAGAAGAGCCCACAGAATTCTGCAAACCCATTACCTGATTTAACCCCGTCCTAGGGAGGTCAATGTGTAAGACTCAAGGTGGTCTATTTCCTCTCAGAAAAACATGGGGAGGGGGTGATCCCAGAGCCTTACCATGGGGACTTGGCCATACTTCTTCTCATAGATCGGAATACTTTTAGTCTTGAGCTTCTTCAGGACTTCCTGTAGCGCTTCGATCTGCAACACATCGCCCCGGAGCCCGAAGTTGCTGCATTGGCTGCGAGCCCAGCCCAGGTGCTCACTCCCAGCCCTAGTTACAAAGAGCCCCCGAAACCACACGCACTCCACCCTGGGACTCCAAGGACAGAAAGGGATGTTCGAGGGGTATTAACTTAGCGAGCACTGTCTCACGTACTGACCGCAAGTCCCTTAGACGCTGAGGCTCCTGTTGCTCCGAGGGCCCGGGACAAGAGATTCACTCTACAAACTGCCTGAAGCAGTGGGCTCCAGACGATTTACAGATGTAAGCCTGGGCTTTACGCTCATCTCCCTGCACCCCGACTCTGGCAGTGGGGGTGGGGAAGGAGGGAAAGAAGACCGACGAATACAAAGGAAAGGACCGGGCGGCAGCCAAGGGGGATCCGGGAGATACCCACCAGCTCCTTCTCATGAGAGGCATCCTCCACGGCAGAGTAGATGTCCAGGGCTCGGGGCTGGAGCTCAGCGTCCTCCTGGGCCCGGGTGCCCAGCAGAGGTAGCAGCAAAAGCAGGGCGGCACCCAACAGGGCCAGCGGCCGAAGACGGGGGCTCTCCATGGTGCTGAAACTCGGAGCTGCTGTGGCGCGCAACGCTCCCGCCTTTTATAGAGAGCCAGAGCCCGAGTACAGGCAAGAGGGAGGGGGCGACGAAGGAAGTGGGTGTGGAGGAGGGTCCAGGTCAACCGTCTGTAGGCAGCGCTCCGCCACCGCTTGACATCAGTGCCCGCTGGACACCAGGCGCCCACGAACGAAGCTCTGTGCACAGAGCTAGAGCGCAGAGAACAGGGACCCTGCTCCCCAAGTGCTGTCAGCCCCGCGGCAAGGGACGCTCCCCTAGGGGCCAGAGCTGAAACGGAGGGGCGACAGCTGAGGGATGGAGGAGGAGGAGGGGGCTAGCAAATGGAAAATGCCTTCGAGCCAAGGCTCAGGCAGCAAAGTCCCTCCCCATCCCCTAGCAGCAGCAGCAGCAGCAGCAGCAAAGCAATCCACCTCACCAACCCTGCCTTGCCTCTCACCCCAGCCCCACATGTGGCAGCAAGTAGGAGGTGTTGCCTCCAGGCAGGCATGTTTGCTGAGCATTTTACTAGGCACTCTGGGGGGTAGGGGAGGCCAATATAGTAAACATAACAAAGAGAAATCATGGCCTTCCCCAGGATGAGCTCTTCATGGAATCTATGCGGTAATGAGAAAAGAAGACAAACAGACTAACTCCAATTCAGAGGCAGTGTGGGGAGCACAGACAGCCCCATTCTGATTCCAGTCCTGGCTCCACCACTTGTAAGCTGTGTGACTTTGGGCAAAATAAATAACCTATCTGAGTATCTCTGTCTCTGCTCTCTTTTGTAAAGCTGGCATTTAAAAATGCGCCTCGCAAGTTATCAAAAGGAGGGAATGAGATTTGGTATGTAAAATTTCTGGCCCAGAGCACAATAAGCATTAAGCCTCCCTGCCTCTCTTTTTTGAACTGTGAGGCTGCCTAGGTAAGTGGCTCTGTGCAGTATCCCAGTTTTTCTTTAGGGCAAATTCGCCATCCTCAGGATCCCTGTTACCCACCACCCACTCCTGATATCCAAGAAGCCTGTCTATAAAGAAAGCAAAAGGAGTGAAAAGTCCAAGTCCCTGATTATAGAAATATCTCCAGAGATGAGAAGTCACTAATGAGCCAGGTCCTCAGTGACTTGGGAAGACTGGTTTTTAAAAGGTAGGTGTCCTTACGGCCTGAATGCAAACCAAAGTTCCTGTAGGTGAGATGTTGGTTTTCCCTACTTAGACCTAGAGGCTTATCTTAATTGCCTGCCCACCTGGCTTCTTTCACCACACCTTTCTTTCAACCCCTTCTAGCCCCATTCACTTTTCTCCATCCCTATTACTACCACCCCAGTTCTGGACAATTGCCCCAACCTACATTTTGCCTACCTCCAGCTCCATCCCATCTTCTCTTGCCTTCCTCTAATCCATAACTCAAGACAAACAGCCAGAGCATTTTTACCCTTAAAATACACTGATGGCTTCCCATCTTACTAAGCACTAAATCTAAATTCTTCATCCTGACTTACAAAGTACTACATGATTGGCACCTCCTTCCACTTTCGAGTCCTCCATTCTGCCCCAGGCCCCTCCACTCCAGCCTCAGCAGCCTTCTTTTTGGTCCTCTAACAGGTCAAGCTCATTCCCATTTTGAGGCTTTTGCTTCTTAGCTTACCTGGAAAGGTCACCCTGCATTTCTAAATAGTTGACTGCTCCTTATCATTTAAATCTCAGTTCAAATGTCCTTGACCACCCAATCTAAAGTATCCACCAATTTATTATCCCACAGATTTATTGCTTGGCAGGTGATATGGGTAACTGGAATAGTTAATACATAATATGTGTCTGCTTATTTCATTTATCAAGTATTTAATTGTTACTCAAATGCACACTGGAAAGCAATTCAAGAAGTAATCTCTCTCCTAATGAGTAGCACACAAATTAACAGCATCAAAATATTTTTCCTTAAGATCAATCTAACTTGAAAATTAATCTAATACCTCCCTCAGGTCTGCCTCTTACACATACCTTTAGATTCCATACAACAAAACTTTAGTGGCAGCACATTTTACTTTTTAAACCTTACAGAGACATATTGGCACTCATTGTAAAATTGATTTCCAGTGATAAAAGCATTCTAAACTGCAGAAGGTAAATAGCCCTAAATAAGGTTTTAGTTCATCCTTCCACAAAGATGGGGATACTGCCAATGCAATAATTTCTCTCATAGTGTGTTCTACCCAGACACAAATAATAACTTTCCTTTTGTGCTACTTCTATTGAAAAATACTCAAAGGTTCAAATCCTACTGATGTAAGGTTGGTGCTCATGTTCATGTAAGCAGGATATTACATTTAGTTGATAGGTTTGGAAAGGGACCCTTAGACAATACTGTGAAGCAAACCAGGGGTATCTTGGTCATTTAGATATCACAATGCTTTTTTCATCTCTGAACAGAATTATTTGATAACCTGTCTTTAGGAAGCGTGTGGTACAGTAAGACATAGGCCATTTTCTTCTTGAGACAACTTTTGTAAGTGTGAGATGTCCTACAGTTCTTACATCATGCACTGTCAGGAGAATTTATACATTCTTGCTAATTTATAATGACTCCACTAGAAAAGAAAAAAGTCCACCTTTGATGCCCCCAAGCAAGTAAAGAAAAATTTGTAATTGGATTTAGTTACTATTTCTCGTATCAGATATAGAAAAAGGAAGCAGACCATCTCACAAAATAGAAGCAGTGACCAGCTTGTATCCACGGAGATTTACTGCAGACAAACCTCTCAACCACTCCCCCTAAGATAAATAGGATTCTAGTACTTTTCTCTCCCTCCCTTCTTCAAATTTTGAGTCATTCCTTTTCCTGTATGGCCCAAAATAACACCTAGTCTTTTGGATTGTCATATTGCTCAAATACCAAACTACTTTGTTATCCATTAACCCCCTTTACATCCTTCTGCCAACCAAGTCTTGTTCAACAGTAAAACTTCCTCAGTTTTGGCCAGGAAAACAAAAGCAAAAATAAACAATTTGGACTGCATCAAAATAAAAAGCTTCTGCACAGCGAAGGAAACAATCAACAAAACTAAAAGACAACCTACGGAATGTGAGAAGATATTTGCAAATGATATATTTGATAAAGGGTTGGGATCCAAAATATAAAAAGAAGTGATACAACTCAACACCCAAAAAACAAATAACTCAATTTAAAAATATGAAGACATGAACAGGTATCTCTACAAAGAAGAAATACGGATGGCCAACAGATACATGAACAGATGCTCAACATCACTCATCATCAGGGAATTACAAATCAAAACCACAATGAGATATCACCTCATACATATCAGAGTAGCTAAAATAAAAAACACAGGAAACAAGTATGGGGCAAGGATGTGGAGAAAAAGGAACCCTCTTGCACTGTTGGTAGGAATGCAAACTGGTACAGCCATTGTGGAAAACAGTATGGAGGCTCCTCAAAAAGTTAAAAATACTTTTCTTTTATCAGTGTGGCGGCAGCCATAAGAATGCTCAGGCTTCAGAAGAGGCTTGCTTCCAGTGTCCTCCACTGTGGCAAAAAGGTCTGTTTGGATCCCAATGAAATCACCAATGCCAACTCCCATCAGTAGATCCAGAAACTGATCAAGGATGGGCTGATCATCCAGAAGACTGTGACTATTCATTCCCAGGCTCAAGTACCAGAAAATCACCTTGGCCTGCCACAAGGGTAGGCATATGGGCATCAGTAAGACAAAAGGTACTGCCAAGGTTCAAATGCCTGAGAAGATGACCTGGATGAGGAGGATGAGAATTCTGTGCGGCTGCTCAGTTAATACCTTGAGAATCTAAGATTTACCGCCCCGTGTATCACAGCCTGTACCTGAAAGTGAAGGGTAACCTGTTGAAAAACAAGCATACTTTCGTCGAACACATCCATGAACTGAGGCAGACAAGGTGCACAAGAAGATTTTGGCCCACAGATCTAAGACCAAGGAAGCATACAAGCACCGTGAAGAGCTGCTCCAGGCCAAGGAGGAGGAAATCATCAAGACTCTACCCAAGGAGGAAGAGACCACTCTTTTGTCTGTACACAGTGGCCTCAGCAATTACACAGATCAGTTATTCAATAAAGCAAACCTTTATCTGCCTCAAAAAAATTAAAAATAGGGTGCCTGGGTGGCTCAGTTAGTTAAGTGTCTGCCTTCAGCTCAGGTCATGATCGCGGGGTCCTGGGATTGAGTCCTGCATCGGGCTCCCTGCTCCTTAGGGAGCCTGCTTCTCCCTCTGCCTCTGCCTCTCTCTCTCTCTCATGAATAAATAAAATCTTTAAAAAAATAAAAATAGGGGTACCTGGGTGGCTCAGTCATTAAGTATCTGCCTTCGGCTCAGGTCATGATCCCAGGGTCCTGGGATCGAGCCCCACGTCGGGCTCCCTGCTCAGTGAGAAGCCTGCTTCTCCTTCTCCCACTCTCCCTGCTTGTGTTCCTGCTTTTGCTCTCTCTCTCTGTGTGTCAAATAAATAAATAAAATCTTAAAAATAAATAAATAAAATAAAGATAAAATTACCATATGATCCAGTAATTTCACTACTGGGTATTTACACAAAAACACTAATTTGAAAAGCTATATGTGACCCTATGTTTATTGCAGCATTATTTACAATTGCCAAAATATGGAAGGAGCCCAAGTGTCTATTCCTAGATGAATGGATAAAGAAGATGTGATACACACACACACACAGTAGAATATCACTCAGCCATAAAAAAAAGAATGAAATCTTGCCATTTGCAACAACATGGATGGATCTGGAGAGTATAAAGCTAAGTGAAATAGGTCAGTCAGAGAAAGTCAAATACCTTATGATTTCACTTATATGTGGAATTTAAGAAACAAAACAAGCAAGCAAAAGAAAAAACAAGCAAAAGAAGAAAGAGACAGACTCTTAACTATAGAGAACAAAATGACAGTTACCAGAGGGGAGGTGCTTGGGTGGGGTGCCTAAAATAGGTGAAGGGGATTGAAAGTAT